CCTCTGGGATGTTTCTGAGCCCTATGGAATGAAACACAAAGCTCTGGGAAGCTCATGACCAGAAAGGTGCAGGCAAATGTGAGGGAGCTGAGGGGCTGGAGGTTCTTCTCTTTGAGGAGAGATCAAGTGAGCTGGATGGGTGGAACATCTTAAGCCGTTGATGGAAGTGAAGTTTCACAGGATGGGCAGTGGAAAGACCAGGGCTGTCCACGTGACGAATTATCACACGTCCAGGGGAGGTGAATCTGGATATTACTGTTCTGGCCTCAAAACAGTGGAACATGCAAAGAAACTGGAAGGCATCTCACTTAAAATGTGTGACGTTACCTTTTCCATGATTTGCCCACTGAACTCACTGTGGTAAGATTTTTTCAAAGCCAGAGGATTCCCAGGACTGAAAATATCTGGGAGAGCTGTCTAGATGAAAAGAACAGCCAGTAGTATCTTTTGGTTAGAAGACATTTCAGAGAAAGTAGGGATGAAGAAGTGATGGGAAAGTTCATCATGTTTGTTGGTTTGCAGGCTTGAAGTCCCTTATGTGCATTGGTGCAAAAGTTAATCCACTGTGGTGGGGGTTGAGCCAAGCTGCCTGCTCAGCTTATTTTTTTGGATGTGCTTCACCTTTGGATGTTCCCCTTCCCAATTCTACTGGGCCTATCCTTTTCTGGTTTGGCTTGGCCATTTTCCTGAACCAGATGTCATCCTGAATGTTTTTGGAAACACAGTGCCTGTCATAATGATGTCCTGGGGAGATGGTAAATCCTTTCCACACTTGATGGATGTCTTGCCTGGCTTGATCCCATCCTGTCAGGAATGAGAAGGCAGCTGTCTCTGCCCACCCTCCAGCTAATGTTGAAAAGATTTGTTTTAATATAGTGCTTATTCCTTTGCATATTCCTGTGGGATAATCTGCTAGCAGTATCTGTGCATGTGCACACTGCAACCCTTCGCACTGTGCCAGGTTTGGTTGGGAAGGGCAGCACAGGCTGCCTGTAATTTTGATCCCTTTTCATCTGATCTAAGAAACAATACTTCTATCTGCAACTCCACTAGCTCATTGGCTTCTCCTTAGAACATGGCAGTTATTATAGTTTTCCCATTAGCTTTTAGTTTCTAATGCCTTCTGAAGACTGAAGTTATTGAAAGGAAAACATTTAGCAGCACTTGGGGCAGTTTGGCCACTATCCTGTCCCAAATAGTGGTTGGTGACAGGGTGAGGTGAAGAGCTGGAAGGAACCCAGCAGGAGTATTTGCCTCAGTGTGCACTCATGGCATCTCTCCATCTACAGCCCTTGTAGAGCTGGTGAGGATGCCTGTGTGCCATGGGAGGTTCTTGCTCGCTTATCGTGGTCTTGGGAGAGTGAAATCTGGTAGAATATGTTGATGCTGGAGTGCAGAGAGGGACAGCACTCTGCCATGGACTCAGTGTCTGTGAGTGGCTGCTCTGCTGTGAACAGCTAACCAGCTCAGGACCTGCCGCAGAGCGGGATGTGTGTCATTATGAAGATGCTGTTTCTTCATCAGTTGATTCCCTCTTTATTTGGAGTGGATTTTCTCAAAGTGCACCAGCTCCCTTTGGGGGATGAGGTTGATTCTGTAGAAGTGGAAACGATGATTATCATGTTGTTGTATTTATTTGGAGAGGATGTGCAGCAGTTGTCAGACAGCACTACGCACCTAATTGGGAATTCAAATTCCGGCTGGTAGATTGAGACTGAAAGGCAGAGCTGTGGGATAGAAATGGGCAGGCACAAAATGCTGAGGCTCCTAATCTTTTACAATATGTTTGTTTAATACAAAGTGGTCTGTTGAGATTGTTTTGCAGAGGAGAATAATCATTGTGTGCTGACTAATGGGAGACAGCAAGCTGTTAGAGAGCATCAATTAACCATACAGGAGGAGATTATTGAGTATTTTCACAAGCATTCAGGATGGGAAGGATAAAAGATATTGCTTGAAGGTAACCCTCAGAGATTTTTAGCAATTGAAATCTATAAACTGCAACAAGAGTATTTGTGGCCATACATATGGCTGCAGAGCCTTCCAGGAAGAACAGCATAGAAAAGAACTGGAGGTAGCTTTCCAACTCCAGATTGTGCTGATAGGAAATAAATAGTGTTTTGCTGAACTTGTTCTCTTATTTCATATTCATTATTTTGAAAATTTTCCCTCTTAAATTTATCTAATTATATCCCAGGAAATACTGGTCCTTTTTATAGAAGATAGTTCTGATAGTTCTGATCCTTGGATGTAGGAATTTATTACACCTACCTGACTGTAAGGCTATTTTCCCTGTCCTTACAGCTGCTCCTGCTTCTGTATAGTAATTCTTATCTCTACTATTTCTGTGAGTTAGAACTCAATGCTCTTAGTGCTGAGAGGAGCATGCTGCTCCCCCATCATGTGTCTTGTGTATGATATTAAAATTCTCCAGTTTTGACCGTTGGAAAGCTTGAAAACCTATGTTTCATTAAGAATGCTTTTATACAGCCCTACTTCATTTCTGCTTGAGTTTAATGTGAGAAATAAATAACGTTTTGTGGGCTCTGTTTGCTGAGTGATGTTGTTGTTTTGTAAGTAATGGGAAATTTTTCCCATCCTGGATTCCAGTGTTAAATCCACTTTGTGCAAACATATTTTTCCATTTGTTCATTGGCTGTGGGGAGACCAGGTAACACTGAATTTATTTTTTCGGTTTTGTTCCTTCTAAAGTGGTGTTAGAGAATTGGACCTCAGATATTCTTTTAGCCAACAGCAAGAGATGTCATGGGATTCCTTGGGGATTATGATAAAGAGGGACCCCTGGTTCTTGGACAAGGACAAAGATAGACTTCTCTCAGCTTCAATTCTCTATTCAAATGCCTTAATCAACAGAGGTCTCCTTTAACAGATGGTTCTGCATCGATAAAGCCTTTAATGTGTTGGCAAAAATTCAGAGAAATTTACTCCCTTTCTGATTTGATTGATTTTCTTAATCTTTTTTAAGCGGAGGCTGAGGGGTGAGAATAACTCATCAGAAGACTATGGAGAGGATTAATTACTTGGCTGCAAAATTCATGAAGATACTCTGAAGGAAGATGTGGGCTGAGTGAGTAAAGCCCTGATGAAGTTGGTGTCAGTGGGGAAATTTCACTGTGACTGCAGCCCTTGCACCTGCACTTGCACCTGTAAGAGAGTGTAGACCGATCCCTTGTATTTCATAAGCTTCTGAACTTGTGTCTGTAGTAAAACCTTCCCCACTGGTCTATGGAAAGAAGCCCTTTTTCTTCAGATACAGCAGCTGGTTTGACTCTGAGCAGCTGTAGCTTGATGGTGGCAAAGGCGAGGGGGCTTTTCTACTTCAGGTCTCTTGTCCTTGCAGCTGTGGCTGCTTTGAGCTCTGCCTGATCTCTGATGCTTCAGAGAGCTGCCAGAATATCCCTGACTTTACAGGGAACTTGTCAAAGCCCTAGTGTGTGAGGTACTGATATCTTAATGCAGATCTGCAGATTTAAAACCCCAAGGAGTTGTTCAGCTTCACCCGCGGCCAGGAACGGGAGGGGTTGCACAGCAATTTCAAGGCTGGAAGGGGTATCATTAGCACTGAGCTTGACCTGAGCTGAGCTTTGGCCAAAGGATTCATCCCTGGAGCTGCAATGAAGCATTTCATGGTTCATTATCCTCACAGTAGGAAACAATGTCTTACTCTGAAGCTGAATATCTAACTTGAATTTTCATCCATTTGATCTTCATATGGCTTTGTCAGCACTCTGATCTCTCACCACCTTCTTTTCCACTTTCTTTTAGGAACTAAAACAAATAATATGTCTGTCTCCATGAATGGAGTATTTTGAACTCTTGACGTTTCGTACTCTTAAAGCTTGTTTGCCGAGCTATGGGTCATTGGGTGACCTGCCTTTGAATCCTACTCTCTGTTTCCCTGTGGTTTTTTTGAAGCATGAACTCCAGAACTGCGCACAAGTCTCAGGAGAGCTCTGGGATTTGGGCAGGTTGCAGAGGCAGCATCACTTTTCTGAAACTTTGCTGCTTTTTGGCTGAACTGATTTGGCAGCTTGTTGCTGCAGCAGATACAGAAAATCCCGCTGGACTGAGAACTCTTTTCCTGAGGGCCTCAGTAGGGTGCCTCTTCTTACTGATGTTTCCCCACTGACAAGTGCATTTTTAGATGAGTCACTGAATTCATATTTAATCCACTAGTAAAATTGGCAAGGCAATTACCATCTTGCAAGTTCTTTGAATCAAATTGTTAGAGAACATTAAATCAAATGCTTTGGAAAAATCCCAGTATATACAATAGCTTCCATCATCCAGACTGTGACTCTGTCACAAGAAAAGCATTTGTTTTATTGGGGTCTGTCTTCAGTGAAAGTATGCTGCCTGGTACTCATTTTTGTCTTGGCCTCTACTTCTTTGTCTCTGCTCCATGATTTTCCTTTTCCTAATTGTTACCCTCTAATGGGAATTGAGAATTAAGGAATTGCTAATTTACAGTTGTCACCCTAATTTTTAGCATTGCCAAATGCAGAAAGCATTTGCAAAGTGAAATAATGCTGTTATTCACGAGGCAATTAATCCGTTATGACAGCCTGGTGGCTTAAAGCATAACAGTGATGAAGGTTGCTCTGCTGGGTCCCCCTTTTTGCTCCGTGTGTTTTGCTCTGAAGCCAAACCACCCACTCCTCAGTAAGAGGGAAGCATGCAGAGCCCTTGTGTCTTAGTCATCAGTGGAGGGGCTGGTGGACTGAGAATCTGCAAACAAAGGACTACAGGCAGCTTTTTGGTTACTGAGGCTGCCTCCTGATAGAAAGCACATGTTAGCTTAATTCAGTTTTCACTGCCACACGCTTTAGTTTGTACTCGCAGTTGGCTCTTCTTTTTGGTGCATCCTAGTCCAAACATGACATTTTGTGTTGTTTCCTGATGGGAGGATTTTTTTTCACAGAAATGCACCATACTCTTCTCCTCCTGTTTTTTTTTTTTTTTTTTCCTTCTCTCTACAGGTGAAAGCAAGAGAGGAAGAACTGCAGAAGGAGGAGTTCTCTGCCACTGCTAAAAAGATACAGGAAAGCGTTGAACTAAAACTGCTAGATCTTTCACGGCTTTGTGCTCCAGAAAAAAATAAAATGCATGGTTTGCGCAGGCTGGTGTTGAGGAGCAAACATCCTGCCAGCAAAACGGGCTTTGGCCAATGTGTATCCAAGCAGCCTGTGTCAGCTGTGGGTGCTACAGAGGTGATCAGAGAACTGCGGATGAGAGAGGCCAGCCTGCAGAGAGAGCTGGAGCAGCTGCGGGAGGAGTGCCGGCACAGGCTGGATGCAATTGCAGAAGGGTTGGATGGAGTGATTTGTATCTCCCCTTGAGGAGATTAAAGCTGGTCTGAGAAGAGCAAGGGAATAGGCTGAGTGGATCAGAACACGTTGTGCAGCCTGGCGTGGGGGAGCGTGAGGTGAGGAACCAAATGTAATTTCTAATTTTTTAGCTCTGGAATCGTAACTTGTTACTACTTTGTGACTTGCACTGAGGCCATAACCTTTGTGGTTCTCTCTGCAGCCCCTTTATTGCTAAACTTGCCAATTAAATTCTGCATTAGGCCTTTGTGGGAGGGTGCATAAATCTCCCTTTTATCTTTGGGATTCTTCTGCCAAGCCCTGTGCTCTTTTACAGCGCTCAGCTGCTAGGCACAGCATACATTGGGGTTGTGCACTGAAGTACTAATTGCGTTCAATATTTTTCAGCAAATGGAAGAGTTCATTAGTCAGAAAAATCCAAGTATTGGAGAACATGTAAAATACCAAGGCTTAGAGGGATTGGAAATATTCGAGAAAGTATGCTGTTTCAGTTCAGCTGGTTTGAGTACTTGTGGCAGCTATAATGCAGTCATGATAAAGAAAAACAAACGCCTAATAATAAATAAAGCAGTGCACCAATTTCATTTACTGGTGTGATGCACTTGAGATAATTGGGTTCTCAAAGAGAACAAACTAGAAAACCATTCCATCAAGTTATGAGTCACTATGAGATACATAAGTTATGGATCTGCTATAGGAAATTTCTGTGGTATAGAAATAGGACTTTAACTTCCAAGCTTGGGGAGTCTCCAAGTTCTGTCTCTGGAGGCTTCTTCCCTTGGAATACACAAATGTTTTTCCCTTGACCTTCATTTCCTACCATTTTCTATTTTGCTTTCACCAAGGAATATTGTTATATTCTGGTTGTACACTTTCAGGAATAAATATATTTTAAAAAACCCAGTTTGCTTTTCATTTGTGAATTGCTGTTAGCAGTGGGCTCTCCTCCATCTGGATTTCTGTCTGCTACCCCAGCTTGGTGGTGTCACTGATTGCCATTTGGTCTTAGCTCTCAGCAGGCAAAGGTAAGCATCTCTAAGGACCTTCTTCCAGGCATCAGTACTGTCGCTGCTCCATGGGGATACCATGTGCAGGTGGGGTGGGTGGACAAGGCTCAGGTCTCTTTAAGGAAATTTCAGATGCTTCCAGACCCTGCTCATCAGCACCTCCCATATTGGTTCTCGTGCAGGTCTTGCAGAAATGAGTGGCAGTACAAGTGTCAGTGGAGAGCCACACAGGGAGGGCTGGTTTGCCCTGGTTTCACCCAGTTGACCACAGCACTACCAGTAGGCCAGGAGTATACAAGCTCAGTTTAATGTGAGCCAAGTTTCAGACAGCCTTTCGCCCGTGTGGACCTGGTGGTTTGTCCAGGGGCCAAACTTGAGCAAGGCTGTTGGGAAGGGCAACTCTCACCTTGAGACCTCAACTCCAGTACACCCTACGTGGGTGGGACAGCCCCTTGGGAGCGGGGTGTTTGTGTGTGTTGTCCAAAGCTGTCTGTCAGTCTCACTCAGTGTGCCTTCTGTCAGCTGCCACTGGGGGTGACCAGCGGCCCTGGAGCAGAAAACCTCTGGGGACTGAGGAGATCCATCTCTGGGACAGGTGGCTCCAGCTGCTGCTCCTGGAAGAACATCCATGGCCTTAAAAAGCCAATGCACACCACTCTGCTTTCCAGACCATCTCTGTAGGCGGAGGTACCAAGCTCACAACTGTTCAGGTTGGTACAACTTGGGGTGGGTGTTAGATCCAGGGCTGCTGACATTTAATGTACAAAAGGACTTACTCAGACACAGGTTTCACGGAAGATTATTTATGAATGGGAGAGAAACAGTATATCCTAGAACTAACAAGAGTGGCAGCAGCAGCCTATCTCTTTGAGAATTTCATATCCTCCTTTAGTGTTTATAGAAGGAAATTTTCATTCTGCATCACATTTCAGTTTAAAAACATTGCCCTCAGAAGACCCTTTGTTCTCCTGGGATTTTCAGCAGAGAAGAGCATGCAGATATTCTTGAGCATGGCAAGAACACTCAGATTCAAGTACAGGTCTAGCTCGTGCCTTGCTGTGGCTTATCAGGGTTAGCTTAATGCAGAATGCCACAATGTATTATGCTGCTGTCCCCTTGAACTGACAGTAGTCATTTATGGAATGACTTACTTCCAAGTATCAGCTCTTGTCATTGTTCACTTTGTGCAGCGTGTTCATCCAAGGACCCTACCTCATCAGGGATCACAGCTAGCAGTGCCTTTGCCTTGCTTGATCCTGAAGTAGTATTTTTCTCTCTGGTGGGATGTCAAGCGTGGCAGTGCTCCGTGTGTCTGTGTATGTGTGTGTGTGATGCACAGAAGTGCCTACAGTGACTCACAGACGGCATGAGCTGCTGAACTGACGTAGCCACCGAAGCTGTCAGGATAGCTGGTGGGAGCTGGAGCTGCATGTTCTGGCTTCTGCATCGGGAGGGGCTGCAGCTGATGCAGGTTAAAAGATCACCTTTCCACCTGTGGGGCCGTGCTGGTGTTGCACACTGCAGTCACCTCGCACTAAGAGCATAGGCAAGTACAGTTTTTTTCTGACACCAATTTTCCACTGCCTTTTGTTTCAGGTGCCAATCAGCTTAAACCAGAGCAGCTACTCTGCACTCCCTCTTAAAGGTCAGTGGGGCATTTTGAGCTGGCAGTGGTTTTAAAACCAGTACCTGTATCCTCCTCTTTCCTTTGCCTCTCTTCTCAGCACCAGCACAGAGGGCACAAAGCAGGAGGTACTATAAGGGCTTGGCATTCTCAGGCATCAGATTTTGGAGGGTGGTTTTCCTGTGAAGGCTGTGTTTTTAATATCACAAGAATTGGACATACAGGGTCATGTCGTGTGTTTATGCTTCAGTGACTGCTCATACAACTTTTGGTGGCTTTTGAGGCATATTGATACACCTGAAATACAGATGCTTTCCAGTCCTCATGAGCTTGGCCAGGCATCATCTGTCTCTCCAGTACTGGTGGGAGATGCTGTATGATAAATATCACTTCAAAGCCTAAGAAAATATCTCTGCATTAACACCAGCTGCAGTGAGAGCAGGAAAGTGAACTGAGTGGCCACAGTCACACTTAATGGGATAAAACGTGTGAACAAACAGGTGTTTGTCACCTCATACTATTACCATGGCATTTTGAGTATTTTCCTTTCCTTGTTCAGGCTGACTTCTCTCACCCACTGTCACAGCCCAGCAATTTCAAAGGCTGCAGTGGCCCCCTTGGTCACAAGGGCGTGGCCCCATGTCAGGAGTCGGGGATGCTGCAGAAGGGGGAATGGCTGCCCTGGGAATTGTGTGCCAACCAGGAGCCAAGTGACTGGTTGGTCTCTGGCAGATGCTGTGACAGGCGGAGGGTGACTCAAGGAGTACATGTCATCCATGGGGCTCCTGCATGCTCAGTAAATGTTAAGCGTTACTTTACAGGAATTGGAGAGTGTGGTAAACAACCCACTGAAAGGCTGAAAGGAAAGACACGAGCTGTTAAGGGATTTGTCCTTTGCTGTACCACCATGCTGTTTGTACATTTCCTTGTGAAAGCAGGGATCTGCCCTAAAATTGTTGTTGGAGTTGAACAGAGAAGAGTGGGCATTGCTGGGGAAGCTGAGTGAGTGTGCAATTGGTTGCTGAGTAGTGGGAGAAGGCTCAGGGTGATGTTGTCCTAACACCTGAGATAGGCAGCAGGGTTTGGTTTGGTTTGGTTTCTGCTTTTTTGAAGAAGCTACAGCGGAAGTTCTCCCTGTTGGTGCATCCTAAAGGGAGTTAGTTTAGTTTGGGTTTGGATGCAGGATTTCTAAGTGATGTTAAAAAATGAGGAGTGTATTAGAGACGATGATGGCCCATGTTGGAAAAGCAGGAAACCAGTGTTAAATCAGTGCCTGGCACAGATGCTGCATGTGGTTGTGGTTGTACTCTTGACAAACGTCAGGCAGTGAAGAGCTGTCCCCTGGATGTTCACCTGGTGACAGCTCCCAGCTCAGCCTGTCTATGTGAAGACCCCATCACAGCTAAGCCTCCTCGTGGAACTGGGAGTACTTGGCCTTTGTCTTCATGTCCTGGTGATGCTTCACTGAAGACAGGCTGAGTTACTGCTGCAGTGTTTAAACTGCGCTCTCTGGTGATGGATTGCTTTCAAGCATAGCCTTAAGCTTTTACAGGATTTCTATGTGTGCAGGTTCTGGTAGGCCAGCATGGAGGTGTTTATAGAAGAGCACAGTTTAACCTGTTGCTCTGATATAACTGGTGCTTTCCAAGCATCTTGCTAGGAAAATGGAATTGGCCATAAATACTTAATTGGCTGATAACTCTGGCTCACACTGTGTAGCTGGAAATATTCCTCCCCAAATAACTGAGCATCAGTCAGCTTGCAGTCAAAACAGGAGGTTTACTTTGCAAAAGGCGAGCGTGGCATCCGCAGTCACCGCTCCTGACAACATTGCGCCTGCTGGTAAATAACGGCTGCAACCTATGTTTAAAAATAAGAGCTGCTGGGAGTAGTGATTTCCAGCCTAGAGTGTTTTGGGTTCCCTGTGGGATCCCTCCACCAGCTCCTGCTGGAGGATGAGCTGCTAGCAGTTGGTGTGAGCATGTGTGTGTGGCAGCGTGGTGCAGGCTCGGTGGGAGTTAACACATGCCTGATGGCTGAGCTCCCTCTCCTCTGACCCTCAGCCACTTGCAGCGAAAGCCTCGGGTCTTTCACCCTCACGCTTCGCCTCCTGGAGCCAACAGCTCATATGGAGCAGTCTGCCAGTACTGCTGCTCCTCAGCTGACAGCCCAAGCCCTCGAGGATGGTGTCTTGCCCCTAGGCTGGGAAACCTCTCATCCTCCTGGACACCTCATACCCACCTTGTGTCACAGCCGCCAGGCCACGGCCAGATCCCTGTCCCTCAGGGTTTTTTTCCCCTGCTGCTCTGAAATGGGAGGCAGGGAAAATGAAGGTGTGCAGCCCATGGAAACTGTGTGAGCATCCAGTCTCACCTGCAAGCTCCTGGCCCAGGCTGGGGGTGCCTGTCCCAGCCCCAGCTTCTGGCTCCGATGGGATTTGCGCAGACAAATCTTTGCCAGTCTGTTGCAGGCAGGTACCTTTGTTGTTAACTGCGCCACCTTATTTCCCAGTATGAATCTTAGTGTCTGCCTCCAGTCCTTCTGGTTTGCTTCCTTCTGCAGGGCTGGAGAGCCTGCTACTCACCAAGAAATACTCCTTGTGCAGGTCCGTCTAGATAATGAACAAAGGGAGTGCAAAGCACCTGTGGAAAGCAACCCCCTGCAGCTCCTGGGGGCTCAGAGGGGCAGCAGGGACAGGGAGAGAGGCACAGCCCCCCAGCCAGCCTGGGCTGGGCGAGCAGTGGGGCCGGGAGGCACCCTTGCTCTCTTGGTGGCTCATGCTTTGATTTAGGATGAAGTACAGCTAAGAAATATTTGAGCGTGGCAGCCTGCATTAGAGACAAGCAAACAAGGGATTTACTAGGGTAGTGTCAAACCAGGCTCTCAGTCACTGCTAATGCTCTCCTTCTCCCATCTGACCTTATTAACTCAGCCTGGTTGTTTCACAAGACGCCTCCCTTGCCTTGCAGCAGCCCACAGCTGCTCTGGAGGGAACAGAGCTGCAGATCCTCTGGAAAGACCAAATGGCTCAGTGGAGCACAACCAAAATGCCAGCAGGGAGCAGGATGTGGGGGGTAAGCCAGCACAGCAGGACTGTGCCTGCCCTTGGGCTTGTCTTGCAGGACCCACCAAATATCCCTTATGTTACAAATACAAATCCAAAGTAAGAAAGCTGGTATTTTCTGCCATTTTCTGCTCAGCTGGCAAAATCTCCAGCAGCTGGGGCGCAGAGGGGAGGCGGAATTTGCTTAATCCTGCTAGCC